AGGAATGCGCGATATGGAACTCGGGAGAGGATTTACCAGCTCAGGCTGCGCTGGTAGGAGTAATGTGACTTACCCTAAGGTGATCTTTCGTTCTTGCAGCTTGCTGATCCTCCTGGTAAGGGATCTTTCTGAGCAGTTCAACACGATGTCCTCCCTTTCCTTCCCTCCCCTGTTTCTGCAGCTGAGAGTTGTGGCCTCAAGTTGCCTAAATAACTTGCAGGGGTTTGGCAGGTGCTGGAAGCCACCTCGAAGCAGTGTGGTTGGTATTAAGTGCCACTCCGACCTATTCCTGGTGTGTCGCGGAGCTGCTGGGGGATTGGAAAAGCAGAAGCTCAAGGATGCTGGATTTACGCCGTGCTGCACAGTAGGGCGAGCGATGAGTTGGGGCTGTGTCGGCGCCTGACTGTGGTATCGTGGTGACACCAAGGAGAGCTGTATGGGTTGGTGGTGTGAGAGCAAATGTCCCTCTTCCTTTCACACCCCGATATTAACAGAGTGGAAAATACACATTTGTATAGACATAGCCTGTGCTTTTGGGGAAACTGAGACTTGTTCATGCTTTATTTAGGTCTGTTTAGGCTAGACAGTGTTAGGGCACCATGTTTAGGTGCGTGTGTGTTGACACATTGAAGCTGCCTTGAGAAGTGTGTTGGGTTAGTCACTTCCTGGGGAATGAAAAAAGGAGGGTTTATCCTGTGGAGGAGCAACGACTTGAAGATATAGTTTAACACTATTTACCTGTTTTACTTTATTGCTACGAGATGATTTAATCTATTCCCTAGATAAATGGATCTCTGATCCTCTCTTGACCTTGGGAGTCTCCTAGAGCAGCTCCTGTAGCCTGCAGGGTTTTGGAGGGTATTCGAGACAGCAGTAGAAGTGGGCAGGGGCAGAAGAGGCATCTGCAGCATGTGGCAGTCCCAGGATTGTGTGTGGTACCCCTGGGATGCTGCTGCAGAGGTGCTGGCTTGGGAGAAGTGGAGTCAACATTGGCCCCCAAAACAGGAGCCAGCTCCTGAGCCTGGAGAGGTGAAGAAGCCGTGTGTGAGTTGTGGCCGAACGTGCACCCGCTGTCAAGTACCAGCTCTTGGGCCGTGTGGAGATGAAGTGGTGCCCTCTGATGGCTGGTGGTTGTGTGAACCTGTGTGCCTGGTGGAGACAGTAGCTGAGGGACTCACCTCCACAGTGCGGCCGCCTCAGCGGTGCCGTGGGAGGGAGCACTTCATTAGCCAAGGAATCGATCGGCCCTTTGCTCCTGCTCTGCGCGGAGTCTCCTGTCGTGGGAGTACTTGTCCGTTGAAGACCCGTCTGCACTGCAGTCCAGCAAGCTTGAACTGCCCTTTGGGGAGTAAAGCAGAGAGCAGCAGGCCTGCTTTTCCCCTAAATAAGACTCCCTTCTTGCTCCCCTTTCCTTAGTTCACGTTGTCTTTTGGTAGCACTGGAAAGGTGCATGGATCCTAAGTGGATCTCAAGTGCTTTGGGGCCTCTTGGGATGAATGCCAGGTGGAAAGCAAAATGCAGATCTTGCTGGTTCGGGTCGATGTATCTGACCCGCTGGCTCCTTGCCCTGGCCTCCCAGCCAGCGTTGGGCCCTCGGGGCTCAGTGGGTTGGAGGAACTTCCCTCTCGCGTTCCCCAAGATGGGGTGCATTAAGCAAGTGCCAGGCCCGCAGGCTCTCCTCACCCCTGCCCCTCTCATGGCTGCTCTGGTGCTTTTACAGGACACTCTGATGGGCTCCATCCCCCTAACCTGGCAACGTCAGAGTGCAGAGCTGGGCGAGGTGAGCGTGGCTGGAGGCAGGAGCAGGGAAGGAGCTTCCCTCCTCTTGGCTATGCGCGGCCCGGGCGCTGCCGTGCTGTCCCTGCGCTGCTGATGCGTGGCCCTGTCGCGTGGGCTGGTGCCTGCTGTAAAGTCGAAGGGCAGTTTTGAGCGAGCGATTCGTGCGCAGCCTTTTCTCCTCCCTCGGCTTCCTGTTCCTCAGCTCAGCCTTGTTTGCTCAAGTCAGGAAGGGGGAGGGCATGGGGGAAGTTAATCATTAAACTGTAACGTCTTCTCCTTAACTCCTTCGCGACCCGGGTGCAGAGCGTGCCTGTGATTTCCAGGCACCTTCCTCCTCCTCTTCCTCCTCCTCCTCCGCAGCCCTGCAAGAGGGAGCTGGTGAGTCCGGCCAAACTCAGTTTTACGCCCTTAGCAGCAAGCAGCGGATTTCTGCCTGGTCGCTCATTCAGCAAGGAGAGCCACGAAGGTGACTGCTGCGGTGAGATGGCTCCTCCATCCGCCCTGACGCGTGGGGGTGGGTGGCAGAAAGATCAGCTGGGTTCCCCTTCGCACCCGCGTGGGGATTTCTGCTTCCTAGGGGAACTCAATTTGCTTTGGCCGTTGGCGTGTGGGCGCCAGAACCAAAGCTCCGGTTCTGGAGGTGGCGTGCGCGAGCCCTCCCGCATGGGGACCTGTGCTCTCGGAGGGACGCGGCTGCTCGGCGGCTCTGTGGAGGTACGTGCCTTGGCCCTGCCACCTGCAGCCAGCCTGCTGCTCAAAAAGAAGATTAGACCGTGGCTTCCCCAGCTGCAGAAAGCTTGAGTACCTCCAGGGGGTCTGCCTCTGGGATGCCTTGGCCTCCCAAGGCATCAGGTTTGCAGCTCAGAAGACCCCTAGAGGAAGATGCCTGTGGCTAAATAATCTGTAGCACCTTTTTGGCTAAAAGAAAGGTTTATAATGTTAATTTAACAGTATCCAATTTGCTAATGCCCGTGCTTGGCTCTCTGAGGGCAAGGACCACTTTTACTTTACTTTAATATGCCTTCGTCTATGGAAGAGAGCAAATACAAAAGCAGCACCTTTCTCATTTTGTAATGCAAACATGTCGTCCTCTGTCTGACCCTTTAATATATTTTCTTGAAGGCTGCTAAGTGTGTTGGCTGCTGTGGGCTGCTGTGCTCAGGAAGTGGCTTTGGGCCGGCAGGTGCCTGCCCTCCGGGAAGCCGCCTGCTCCCCAAGCACTTGCTTGATGGCTATTTTGGTACCATCTGATAACTCTAGCTCGTTGTCACCTCGTGGGGTGCTGTGCTTGCAGGCTGAGGCTTTGGACCTGAAACTGGGTTTTCTGCTGTCGGGGGAGGAAACAGGTAGATCCTCCTAATTGCCCCAAAACAGTCAGGTCTGCAATGGAGGGCAGAGGGTAAGGGGCTCTCCTAGTTCTGCCAAGGTTGCATTACTGCTTTCTGGCCAAGCTCTGTATCTCTGATGGATCCTGCCAGGTACGTCTTGATTCTCTGGTAATGGAGAGCGCTGATGTCCCCGGCAAAATGGCTCTAATAGCCTTAAAGAGGGGTGTGCTGGAGCCTGCTGCTCCGAGGCAAAGCCGGGCACCTGGCCAGCGAGGCTCGCTTTGCAAACAAGCACGATGCAGACCTGCAATAGCCCATTGGAGCCTCCGCCAGTGGGCACTGCAGTAGGCTCCTTGTGGTGGGTTTGCAGCTCAGAAGACCCAGCAATTTGGGATTGGCTTGTGAGTCACAGCTGTGGAGTGCAGGGTTTGGGATGGGCAAAGGAGAACTGCCAGGAAAAAGTCCAAATAAGGGGGGAATGCTTTGTCTTGTGCAGTGTTTGAACAAGAATGGTTAAGATTTCTGAGAGGGGCTAACCCTGTGACGTGCGTCCCTCTGCCTGGCACGAGCATGGGCATTTCTAGCTGGTGGAAGTTCTTCTCTTCAGGAATTTGTGAGCGGTCTCCACCCAGCAAGCTGAGAATTATTTCCAGGAGAAGAAATTGCGTTTACCTGGCAGGCTCTGAGATCTAGTTAACTGTTTGTGTGATGTCCTGAGATGGAGTTTGCTTAGGAAAGTTGAAGCACGGAGGCTTTCTGCCACACCGATGGACCGATCTGAACGTTGCATGCTTCTCGCGCTTGCTTAAACTCTGGAGAAAACCCCTCCCGGGATCTTGTTTCCTGCAGAAAGCAGTGCCTGGGGCCACATTAAATGACTCTGTGATGATGTGGGCCCTGTAATTACTCTGTGTCAATATCCTGTTGTGAGTCGATCTCAGGGCAGGTTTCTTCTAAGCTCCTCTTCTGCAGGGAGACTGCAAAGGTCCTTGGAGTTGGGCTGTTTTCCAGTTAAGACAAAAATCTGAGATTGACACAGTTTTCCTGGCTGCTTTGTTGTCTCATGGCGTTTTCTTTGTACTAGCTGTGTTGTTAACTCATTGAGACCTGCCCTTCTGTTTTACAGAACATTTAGTAGATCACTCTAGGTGAAAACTCTTCCCAGAAATCTTCTGATAGGGGTATTCAGAATGAGAAGAAGAAAAAGCTGTCGGACAGGATCTTCATTTTATTTTTCTTTTGCTTTTTTACAGATGCCTTACTAGCAGACCTGGAGTCTACCACTTCACACATATCCAAACGACCAGTGTTCCTAGTGGAGGAAACGCCTTACTCCTATCCAACTGGAAACCACACATACCAGGAGATCTCCGTGCCGCCCCCGGTGCCACCACCACCTTCTAGCGAAGCACTCAATGGCACCGTGATTGACCCCTTAGACCAGTGGCAGCCCAACGCGTCCAGATACGTCCACCAGCAAGTGAGTGAATGTGTGGGTGTCTCGTGGAGACAGGGGAGGTCCCTGCTTGTGTTGGCACAGATCTGACAGGGAAGCAAGGGGAGGGAATAGCAAAAAGTGAGGATAAGTTTGCTACAGATAGAGTAAGGGAATGGGAGAGGCCTGGGATATTAGTGATTGGGGGGAGGAAAGTCTGACTGGATTAAGCAAGTAGCAAAATATAATTTGAAACCCATCATCGTTGTTCCAGTAAAAATGGTAGTGCGTTGAGATTAGTGTTAGTCATCTGTCCTGTGGAAAGCACGCTGGGGGTTTCCAGCATAGACTCATAGGCAAATCTGAAGCAAGTGGAGGACACTTGTTCCTGGAATAGCTCATTTCGTGGAGGTTGGGGTTGGCTAAGTAGAATTTTCTTGCTTCTGGACTTTGACCATGTCTTATCCATGTGTGGTTGCAATGCGGCCTCTGTTCTCTGTTTCTGATACAAATCTTGTTTCTGCAGCCCCAGTCCCAGTCTCCTATATACAGCTCTAGTGCCAAAAGCTCCAGCGCCTCCGTTCCCAGGGACGGGCTCAGCTCTCCTTCCTCCCGTGCCGGTGAAGAGGAACACGTCTACAGGTATCTTGCCCCCATTAAGCGACAGCTCTGAATCGTATGAGCACGGTGCTATCACTCGAGCAGTTTTCTGTAAATCAGAACAAGTAGTATGTTCCTTGGGCATGTTATGCCTCCTGTATCCGTTCTGTTTCTTACGGCTCTGTGTTTGAGAACTTCCCTTTTCAGACACTGCTATGGCTTTATACTCATTCACGTACTGACCTAGGCCTTCTGTCTCCTCAGCTGTAGAACAGGTGCTTGGACCTATCAGAACATGATTTGGTTCAAGCATTGCAAAAAATACGATGCAGAAACAAAGGACAAATTCCCCCTCCTGTTAAGCAGCCTCTAAGTAGTTCCTGAGGCAGGGTGATGGCCGTTGGGCCTGTTATCTTAGGGAAGTCACTTAGCTGTGGACTAACAAGATGTGGAATTATTTGAATTTTTGAGTAAATTTGAATTTCTTGTGATGATTTAGAAATTCCATCTCAGAACTACAGACTTATAGATAACTAGACTGTAACCAAAATGATGATTGCAGCCCTCCTTAGACTGAAAGGCTGGAAGGGTCCCACCTGCATGCTGGGCCTGGCCTTTGTGCCGAGGCAGGGATGAGAGAGCAGCAGCCTCGGTGCTCCACCTGCAGCCTCCCCACGCAGGGCACTCTGTCCTGGGCACCTTTTGACTGTGTGTGCAAACCAGCATTTCTCTGACATTATGTACTCCAGCCCTGCCCAGCTCTTTCTGCAGAGCAGGAAGTTGCTTTCCACTAGAACTAGTTGTGGGTAAAGGTGCTGACAAGCACGTCCAGTGATGGGCAAGTGGAGGCAGTTGTGCAGTTTTCTGGGTGCTGAGGGTCTTGTGCAACTAATACAAAACCAAGGTGATTACAGCCCTAGCTCTGGTGGCACAAGGCTCTGACATGCCTGCTTCTGGTGTGAATTGTAGCTTGTGAGCAGATGGAGGAGTCTCTCCTCAGGCTTCCTCTGGGAACCTTGTCTACAGCCTGAAGGAAAGATAATAACTGGCCCTGTGGAATTTCACAACTTACTGGTCTTATGGTAGCGGAGTCCTAAAGCCTGTTGCATATTAACCTTCTGAGCATAATCTGGCAGTGTGCTCAAGATGGAAGCTCTTGTTTTGGATTTAGAAACTCTCTTTTAATACAGTAAGAATCATCACAGCATTACAAGTTGTCCATTTGAAAAACTAGGAGATTATTGCCTTCCCAGTGATGACAGGCTGTTTTTACAGTGCCTGAAATCACTGTATTGTTGCAAAGGTTTGCTGTGAAATAGTTCTGCATTGTGTGTGGGCAAGAGTAGCTACTGCTTTTTCTGTAGGATAAGCAGTAATTACAGCCAGTGTTCCACAGCTGTGCTTGGTTACATTTCTTTACAGACTCCTGTCTTTAACCCTGTGGAAAATGATTGTAAATTACCTTCTTATAAATTGATGAGAACTGCTCAAATAAAACGCTTTTTGGATAGACCTTGTGTGCTGCAGGAGGCTGCCACATAACTTGCTGCTTTTGGCTGTAGTTGATAGTTTGAGGTTTGTACTTTGGTTCCCTCTTTCTCCTGCCTGTGCTGGCTGTGCATGCCCCTGCTTCAGGGAGAGGTTTTCCCCGCATCATGTGAGGTCAGCAGAAACGAGCCATTTTCCTGCATGCCAGCTAGCAGTTCTGCTGCTGTGCTGTCTCGAATCAGTAGCTTCTTAACTCTTTGCTAGAGGGCTGTGCAATGCAGTCCTAAAATCTGAGGCCTTGCCCTGCTGCTGCTGTTTCTTTGTAACTGGCAGCAGAAGGTGAGGCCAAGCAAGCTGAAGATGCAGCTGAGCAGCAGCTGTGTTGGTAATGAGTTTCCCACAGTAAGCATCTTCTTTCATGAGACATCAGGAAGACATCAGTTTAAAAAAAAAATAGAAGAAACCAAAAAACACAGTACATGTGAAGACTCTGAATCTTTAAGTGTTCCTCCATCCTCCTGCTGTGTCTCGCAGTAGAAGGGACTCCTCAGTTTCACACTACCCTTTTATCTTTAGTTTTCCCAACAAGCAGAAGTCTGCAGAACCATCTCCCACGATGACAAGCTCCTCGCTGGGCAGCAATCTCTCAGAACTGGACAGGCTTCTCCTGGAACTGAATGCTGTTCAGCACAATCCCCCCAGTGGCTTCCCAGCAGGTAAGGAGTAGAAAGACATCTGGTATTAGCTTTGTAGATAGTTTTATTCCTAAAATGTTAGTCTGTGTTTTTTTTTTTTTTTCTCCCTTCAGCACGCTTACTTGAAATCTTTCACCCCAATTATAGAATCATTTAGTTTGGATGGAGTCTCTTGAATACTCTGGTCTAGCATCCTGCTTGAGGCACGGCCACCTTGAAATTAAGTTAGAGGCAACTTTGAAAGTTAGGTTACTAAGGACCTTGTCCTATTTAGCTCTCTATATCCTCAAAATTGACAAGGTCTTTCCAGACAGCCTATTGCTCCCGCTTCTGACTTATGTGCATTTATGGACTTGGGGATCTAAATGCCTAAATCTTTTTTTTTTTTTGCTGCTTTTCTTCTTTGTAAAGACGAAGCTGGCAGAAGCCCATCATTGACCAGCGCAACCGGACCTCACTATGTTATCCCAGAAGGCAGCAGCTCTGTGGGAGGGAAGGCTGCTCCCCCTACAAAAGAAAAGCCAAAGCGAAACGGTGGACGTGGGATCGAAGATGTGCGTCCCAGTGTGGAGAGCCTGCTGGACGAGCTGGAGAGCTCTGTGCCCAGTCCAGTGTGAGTAGTTCTTTGGTGACTGCCCGCATAGATGGGGTGGAAATAGTGAATAGTGTAGGGATGGATACTTCAGGAGAGGGAGGAGCAGAAGAGCTGATTTGTCTGAAGAGTGGAAATGCAGCAGGAACGTGAGGATGCTGGTGCTCTTTATCTCCTGAAGCTGTTGCTGGATGAAAGATACATAATGACTCATGTTACTAGAGGCTCAAACTCAGATTTATTGCTGCTGTAGAAACACACCATCTGACAGAATGAATGCTTGGGCATAGTCCATTCCATAACGGATGGTGTTTGTGCGCGCTCACGCTGCGCTCGGCAGAGGCAAGACCTGTGTGTGTTGCAGAAGCTGGGCGTGGGGAGGGCTGGCGTGGTGGTCAGTGCCATTGAAACACGCTGCACCGTCCTTGTTCTGGGGCCTGGGGGACTGCCACCCTGGGCAACTCTGTTCAAAGGCTCTCTCTTCTCTTGGCAGCCCTGCAATCACTGTGAGCCAAGGCGAGGTGAGCAGCCCCCAGCGGGTCACGGCCAGCCAGCAGCAGACTCGTATATCTGCCTCATCAGCCACCCGAGAACTGGATGAACTGATGGCCTCTCTCTCTGACTTCAAGGTGAGCTGTCATGACAAACCTAACACCTCATCTTGGCTCTCGCTTGCCTGTTAGCCACATCTGCTGCCCTTATTTGGTCTCCAGAATGCCTTCTGTGCCTCCCTTCCTTGCTCTAAGAAAATTCTTGTGGTGGTATTTGTATGTTGAGTGCTGCTGTAGGTGTCCTTGGCTGCTATAAATCCGTCACTGCCCTGGAAGACAGTTCTGGACACTGTTTTTCCTTCCATTCTGCAGCTCGTCTGTGATTGCCAAAGATAATGAGCTTTAGTTACTGTTCAGTGCAGGGTGAGTTGTTTTGCCGTTCTGAAAATATATGATGTAGCGGATCATGGGATACCTGCCCACTCGCTGACAGAGACCAGGCTCTCTGGTCAGAAGACCATCCTTCTTGCAGCTCATTTTTGCCCTGATGTGCCTTCCCTGAGGAAGGTGCATTAGGGATTTCCAGGCATGTGTGTGAGCACTCAAGCTTTTGTTTCAAAGAGCAGGGAACTTCAAAGGTTGCAGTCTTAAAACAGCATCTCTTAGTCAGATCGAAATAGGATTAATGTCCTAACTTCTAGTGGGGGAGAAAGATGGCAAATACCATTCAGAATCTTGTTTAGAAATCTAATTTCTCTGTTGGAGAAGAACTGCTGCTACTGCTGCTTCAGTTACTAGTAGCGCTTGAAAAACCCATAGTAGGATAAACTGAGGAGAAATTTGCCCATGCCTTATATCTTGGGATAACTTATAAACGAAAGTGTTCTTTATTCATGTAGGTGTGTTATGCTGGATGATTAACTGTGGAGCTTTTTTCATGAGATTTCCTTTACCCACAATCATAGCAAAATGAAAAATATATTTTCTTCCTTGTTTGTAGATGGTTTGCTTATAGGTTTCTTATTACAGACTGATACATTACTCTCTTATCATCTTTTGCTTGGTTAATGAGTTGCCCATTCGCTTTGTCAACAGAATCCATTTGATTTAGGTTATCTATCTCATCAGTCAGCTGCCGCTGAGATTACTTAATGTACTCGGGTTTTCATCCTGTGGCATTTCTGCATAATGTGATGCTCACTTATGGCATAGTGAGGTGCTTGTGCTTAACTGCTCTGTTACTGCTGTGTGTTTAACCATTGCTCTTACTTTGGAGCTAGTCAGTTGTTAATATGCCTTTGAGCAAGATGACTGTTTTGCCTTGAAAACGGCTGACTTCATTCAGTTTCCAAATTTTTGAAAATTAATGTTAACCACAATGTAAAAACCAGTTACGTTCAGGCCACGTTTAGAGTGGTTAAAATGCAGATGAGGAAGGCAGTGCTAGGAAATGTGTTTTAGTTTTAAATACCATGTGTGTTCCTTGGTGTGTTACTCTCTGCCGCGAGTGGGTGTTTGGTGATTTGCAATGCAGCGCGGTCACCCACTGCTCCCCGCTTTGGGATGTCCCCGGGTGAGCTCCAGGCTCCTGTCTCTTCTACCCACGGACAGATTTGATGCAAGTTCTGGCTAATTTTATTCTTTTGGTCTAGACAAGTACCCAGAAAGGTAAGTAAAAGCTGAGATATTGTGTGGGTTTAGGGAGGTCGTGTGCCCTGCAACGTGTCATCTAACGTCTTGAGGCCGCTTGGAAGAACATGGCCAAGAATCAGAGCAGGTGGAGGGAGCTGCTGGGTTTGGAAATCCTCTCTGAGTGGGGAGGGTCTATTAAAATGGGAGGGATCAGCATTGGCTTTAGCTTGACCTGCTGTGTGAACTTGCCCAGGCCGCAGTGCTGCTTTCTCTCCATAAGAAAAAGGAGTGATGCCATTTGTTCTCCTAGAGTTCAGCCAGGAACCTCTGCCAATGGGGAGAGGAGGACAAAGGATCTTTTGCTTTTGAAAAAGACCCTATAAGTGAAGGAGAGCTAAGATATTGATTTCAGTCACTGATCCTGTCTAAGTGTATTTTGGATCAAAATCAGTACTGGTTTTGTTATAATGTAAGTGTGGAGTCTTGGGCGTAAGCTGAAGAGGCTAATGCGGCCATCTGAGCAAAGCTTAAAAGGCACAGGGTGGCCGAGTCCTTGACACTCAGTGTCTGTTGGATCTGAGGTGACACTAACGAGCTGAGCAGAGCAAAGGCCCTGCTGCTTGTCCTGCCGTGCCTGCCCTGCAGCTTGGTGGTCACTGCTGTGCACTCGGCCAGCAGCAGTTTCCTTAGCGTACGGAGAACAAAATCTCAAGGTCTGCTCTGCTCCCTGGCTTCTTTTTGAGGAGAAACATGTAAAATGTACATGTCACAAGTTGTTAATGTGACTGTTACTCAGCCTAGACATGCCTGGGTTTGAAGCTGGCTTTCTCACAGTTCCTGCAGCCCCTCTCCACAGCTGCAGTGAGCAAGAGAGCTGTCACGGAGAGCACAGGAATGGGGTCTGATGGCTGCCTAACATCCTCTTCCTTGGTCTCATCCAAAGATCAGAATGATGCTGTGCTGTTTTTGCTCTTTGATATTTAAAGAAAACAGAATGCTACTATTGGAAGTAAGGCTTTGCATCAACATGGCTCTTTGATTTGAAGGTCACAGTTGTTCTAAGACTTAATTCCGTGTGTGTGTGTATTATCTTTTTTTTTTTTTTAATCTCTGTCTTTACCTTTTTTCTTATTGTTTCTGTCTTCTTTCTGCAGACTAGTTCCACTATGTCTCTGATCTCTGAACCCTCCCTAGAACCGCTTTCCACCTCAACAAATGCAGAGTCCAGCAACCCTGCTCACAGTGTGACAGTGCCATGCCAGCCTAAAGCCCCTTCTGTCCCCTCAGCAGCCCTCCACATAGAAGAAGGTGGCAGCAGAATGGTCCTGCTTCCCCCAGGACGTTCTTCCACCCCTCCACGTGTGTCCTCTGTGCTGCAAACAGGCCCGGTGCCCCCTCCACGGGTCTCTTCCAGTTCTGCGGCGCTTGGGGAGCAGACAACCTTTGCAAGCTTGGTTAGGCCGGGCAGAAAGCCTGACTTTTTGGGAAAGGCTGTGCCAGCTTCCAGTGCAGAGCCTCTGTCTAAACCCACTAATGTGGGGGCCCACAGGCTAGAATACGATTTGGTGATAGAGACTGAGAAGAAGGAGCATAGAATAGAACCCCTAACCTCAAGTGTCACACTTCCAAATGCTGGAATAAATGATCAAGGGAAGGGGCAGATACCAAAGGAGCTGGATCGACAGGGAGTGTGTGGGGATAATTCAGCCCTTTGCCAGCACAGGAGTGTGGAAGCAGCTTTAGATGAGCTGTGGGCCCTGCAGCTGCGTGCGCATGTGCCAGAGGCCCATGCAAAGAGTGACAGTGTCTTGAATGCTGTGCGGGAGCCTTCTATCGTGGCTCTGGATCGGTGGGATGTTTTCCCAGACACTACAAAACAGTTAGGCTTCATAGCACAGCAAGGGCAAGAGCTAAAAGCTGAAGTACCACATGAAATCAGGGTAGACACCTGCTCTGATCTGACCAAGAAAAGACAGAGTAGAGATAGAACTCCAAAGAAGGCAGGTACTAACATCAGTAAAGGCAGAGACCAGGAAAAGGAGCAACTTGGAAGCTCTACAGTTGTTGCAGAAACTCCCGAAAATGTTTGGAAAGACGAATGGGATCTGCTGTGTGTCCCCAAGCCACCCATTGAGAGGATCTCTGCATCAGGCCAGGCAGGCACTGAGTGAACGCAGGAGTAGAACAAGTCCTAGCTAGGACGCCGGTAGTGCACTAACGTTTTGTGCTCGCCCCTCTAACAGCATGGGATTGAGCCATGTTACTGACAGCTGCATGTTGTGAGGGTTTGGAGTCCTTTAATTTACCCTGTGGTCACTTCTGCACGTTGGCTACCAGCACAGAGCATGGCAGGTCCTAAGAACTGTCTTGTTAAATGGACTTTTATCCCTTAACCGGGGTAGGGCAAATGCTCGATCCATAAAAGTCTCTGAGAAGTTAAAGGGCTGCTTCACACCTGGGATGGCAGCTCCTCTGCTCTGCTTGCCTTTTTAGGTATCGGTGCAGGAGCTGTTACTGTTCCTTCCAGCTCTAGCAGTTCTCTTTGCACACCAGGCATCTCTGACCAAGTCTTTTGCCTGTAAAGGGCAAACGCAGAGAGGCTGTTGTGCATCACTGCGATACTGAGGTTTCTTTAATGCTCTGTGGCATGGTCTTGCTGCACCTCATATCTTGGCTTCCTCTTGGTTACTTCCTTTTCTAGACAGTTATTTTTGGCTGCTGTGATTTTCCTTACGGGGTTTTTCCTTGCACTGAGTCACTGTTCTGGGCTGAGCCAAGAGGAATTTTGGCACAGTGGAGTGCATGTCATCACTCCTCCAGCTCAGAGTTGTCACTAATGGTTTGAGTTTGTGGTGTTGCATCTTGGGGCTTGCTTTTGCCTTCTTGCTATTCTCGGCTGATATTATTACCTTTGTCATTTAGATTAAGTCTGTAATCAAGAGGACAAAAGAGACGGGGAATGTGCATCCAATGTATCGTGAGCTCTCTCCGAGGCGTAAGCTAGGCCCTGCCATCTTCCACAAGACCGAGTCCCAGGATCGCTTGATTGAAGAGCTGCAGGACAGACTGGGCATCGCTAAACAGGAAGAGCAGGAAGAGTGGAAAAGCCAGGATGACTGGCTGACAGAAGGGGTCATTATCACTGCTAGACCCCAAAGGGAGGATCAGAGCGGAGGACAGCAAGTAGAGAAGGTAGCGAGCAAGGGAGATGTGCTGGGAAACTCCAGCACATCCCTCTGTCCAGATAGCGCTGTGCGGGGGTGCAGATTAGGTTTCTGAGTGCACCAAGCCACATCAAGAGAAGATTCTTTGTACTCAGCCATGTCTGGTTTGAAAGGGAACCAGCTCTGAGGTCCCAAGTCCTTGATGCTTAGAAATTGGAGTGATGTCAGAGGATGGTGGTGATGGTATCTGTTTGGGAAATCTGCTGCTATTGCACATCAAACAGCCACATGGGGTTTATTTAAAAGCCATGCTGGGAGGCCTGTCAGTAAAGGCATGCCTTTTCTCCAGTGCTGTTGCTGTGCATGACATCTTGGGTATAAGATGATGTTCTTTCCTAAGCCACTTGGAGATACAAGTTTTCTAGTCGTCTTCTCTGTGAGGCTGCTTTTTATCTCTCAGATAAAGATGCTGAATGGCAAGCAAGTGGCCTCCTTTTACTCACTTCTGGTTGGTTGTGGCAGTGAGGTTGGCCTGCTTTCCTGTTTGTGCTCTGATGTGAAGTGAAGGAGCTTCAGAAACGGAAGTGGGGAGAGCTCCAGACAGCAAACAGTGTCATGGCCTGGTCTGGGTTGTCAGCCTTCCTGCTGCAGGAAGCATTTGATGGTTCTTCTTTGGATCTATTCACCTTTCTTCTTCCTCCATGTCTTTCTAGGTGGTCTTTCCGCCAGAATCCCCACTTCCCCCGAGGAGGACGATCTCTGTTTCAGCCTCTCCCTCACTCCAGACTTCTAGAGAAGCTGCAAAGACAGTCTCTGCTAATGCTGCTGCTTCTTGTGTCCTTGGCCCTGCACCTCTCCTTCCACTCCTGCCTCAGCCTTCCCATGTGCTGTCTACCTCAGCTCCTAGTCCAGTCTCCTCCTCTTTTGGCCTGGCTCCTCAGCCTCTGTTCCAGAGGGAAGCTGCTTCTGATGATGACCCTGAACTTGCTGTTGTAGGCACCCCTCCTTCTGAAGCTCCTAGACACTCCTGTTCTCCCCAGACCTGGATCTCTAACGCCAAGACAGTCGTTTCTGTTGGCTGTCAGACCGAAGATGTTCCGTTCTTCCCACAGGTGCAGGCAGGCTTCCTTTTCCTCTTCTCCTTGTTTAACAGAGTGCCTTCCAGCCTAACCACTGTTCTCAACTTGATAGCTCACTAGTTGTAATTCTGGGGAAAGGCTAGTGCATCACTGCTTGATGGAGGTGGGAAGCCATTGGCAATACCAAATCAACTGCTGTCTCTGTCTAGCACTGAAAAAGTACATGTCATTGCAATGATCTGCTGTTGTGTTTGGTTCCTGTCTGTCTCACTGATCGCTTCGTGCAGCAGTGACTGTGTAAACTCTGTTCCTCTCTGAGCAAAAGGACTGAGTTTCTGAAACGCAGTCCTCAACTGTCCCTACCACAGTCTCTTGGGAAGGAGGAGGTAGGCATGGAGACAAAGATGGCAAAAATCTCAAATTGGAAGGCCAATTCAGCCGTTCTTCCGATGTTTGACCATTTAGACAACTCTCCCCAATATGAGTGGGTTTTAGCGGAGCTGCACAGCAGTATTTGTACAGGCAGGTCTCAACAGCGAGCAAAGAAATGCCTCTGCATCTTGAATTGTTGTCCTTTGCAGGTGACCTCTGCTCCTCCCCCTGTCTGCAGTGCTGCTCTGCAGGCTGGTCATGCAGCCCTGGGTCCCCTCACCCCTGATAAGGCAGGACCTCCTTTCTGTTCTCTCTCAGCATGGTGTGATCTTCTGTGGTTGTCTGTGACACAGATGCCGCTCCTAGAGCTCCGGCAGCAGCAAATGGAGACATGTCCTGCAGTGCATGTTGTGCTGCTCACCGAGCTTGAGCTGGACGGTGATGATGGATCTCATGGGGAATTTGAAGGACCACTGCATGATGAGTGTGTGGATGCTGTGCTGCTTGTTCCTGCAAATGCCAGACATTGTGTGTGGGAGAAGGAAACAACCTCATTCAGATGGAGACTCATCTGTGAGCTCTTGAAAAGGCTGGAGCTCCAGGCCAGGGTAGAGGTTACCGTGTCCAGAGATGGATGTGCCTGCACTGAGGTTAGCTGTGGCTTGCAGGAATACGTGGTCCCACAGGCAAGAGTGAGGAAATGCCCAGTTGCTCTGTGTTGAGTTCAGCCATCTCCTCTCTCCAGATGGTAGTTACCATTTTTCTGCCTGGTGCCACAGCTCCTGGTAAAATGAGGGCAGATATGATTCCTCTGACACAGTCCAGCCCTTTACCCCAGCAGCATCATGCCTGAAGCCCTGTTTGGTACCAGCTCTGGCCTGGCTTTGTGTAGAGAGCACCTTGTTGACTCCCTGCTGTGAGAAGTGCCCTGCAGTGGTTTATTATGGAGATGTCTGCCGGGTCATGTGGAGAATACTGCTGTGCAGAGGATGGGTGATCTAGGTGCAGGGTGCGGGTGTGATGGGGCTGTTCCGAGCTGCTGGTCTAGGCCAGGCTGTGAGGAGGGAAGGAGTGATGGGTTTGGCTCCACTGGGAGCTGTGCTGCACACAAGCAAGGCTCATGAGGGGATAAAACTACATGTGCCATAAGCATTTTATCACAAACAAGTGGAAAGAAGTGTTTGACATTGAGTAAACTAGTTTACTACAAGCATCACTGACTGCAGAATGGGTGTAGAACTCCTGTGGCTAGAAGGGCAGGATGGACCACGACTCCAAAGAGCTTCAGTGTGTCCCTAGTCCTTTGGCTGTGATGGCAATAGGCTGGTGGGTTGTTGACAAATGTTGATTTATGTCTGTTTTGATTCCTCCCTTTAATGAGAGAAATCCATGTGCTCCCCACTCTCATCTTGGGGAAGAATTTGATGCAGGTGGTTGATTAGCCAACAAGGGGAGGGGGGTGCTGCTAGACCTGATACTAACAAACAGAGATGATCTAGTTGGAAATGTGAGGGTTGGGAGCAGTCTTGGCTGCAGTGTCCATGAGATGTTGGAATTCACAATCCTGTGAGGAGGAAGTTGGACAAGAAGTAGGATTGCAACCCTGGACTTTGGGTTTGAGCTAACTTTGACCTCTTCAGGGAGCTCCTTGGAGGAATCCCCTGGGCAAGGGTCCTAGAAGGAAAGGGGGTCCAGGAAAGTTGGCTAATATTCAAACACCACTTTCTCCAAGCTCAGGATCTGTGCATTCCTACAAGAAGGAAGTCGAGCAAGGGGAGCAGGAGACCTGTGTGGATAGGCAAGGAGCTGGGTAAACTTAATGAGAAAAAGAGTGTGTACATAATGTGGAAGAAGGGCCAGGCCACACGGGAAGAATATAGGAACATTGTCAGAGAATGCAGGGATGCAACGAGGAAGGCCAAGGTCCGTTTGGAGTCACAGTTAGCAAGA